ACAGTTTGGGGGTAGATTAGGGAAGTTCTGAAAACAGTTAGACAATACAGTCATTTGTGTGGGATAAGAAAACTTACGCCATCTCAATGTCAATATTGGCTTCTCCACTGTTCAACTCGCTAGCAGCCGGTACTGAATATGATGCTCCGTCGATCGTTGCATTGATCGGGAAGGTGTTCTGAGGAACATATGTCGCATATTTCGCATAGAAAAGGTTGACATCCGACTCAGCAAAGTAGCTACCTTGTTGGTAGAGACCAAGTGAGTTGCCAGTGACAGGTGCAGGGTTCGCCGGAATGCTGTAGAGGGCTCTGATACAATCGGGGGTCATGTTCGTGCTGCAGTTCTGCAGAGCAGGTGGCAGAGCAGCTGCGGCAGCAGAAATGGCGAAGCTTTCCTCTGTGGCTGGAGTACTGATGTGAGCTGGTGCGTGGATGGAGTGGCTGACACGCTTGGTCTTTCTATCCACGGTTCGCTTGGTGACAGGCGAGAGTTTAATTCCAGGAGTGATGTAGTCAATGTGAGAAGCCAAATGCTCTGGAACATGGTACCTGAGGTCTGTTAGTACGGAATGGGCAGCTTGAAAGGACTGCATACCTGTCTGTGCCGACTCGAACTTTCGAAGTCTGGCTATGCTCATGCTCGTGGAACTCGGCATGCAGCAGTTCCTCAATCTCCTCGACAGTCACATCGACCGCAATCCAACCCTTATTCTCGTAGAACATGATGCGAGAATCTTGAATACCGGAGTCTGTGAGCCATTGGGTGATGCTCGCAACAGTCTCTTGCTTGGGAGCAAAAGCATCGTGGACCTGTTCTGGGGTCCAATGCTTGCCATAGTTCTCGGAGTCAGAGCTCGAGCTAGAAGTTGTCAGTTTGGACTTTGAAAGTATTGTATGAAGGAGAAGAAGGTAAAAGGCGATGAAGGATAGATACTTACACGTCCATGAGGTAGTCATAACCCAATTCCAAGTTGGTCTGGGTAAGACCAATCTTCATTGGCACAATGGCAGTCTTCTCGAGTCTGGCACCGCGCACCCAATCTCGGCTCTCGACAGCTCTCTCCTCATGGAGGACATGCTTGATCGGGGAAGGAGCAGCATTGCAGAGAGCAGCCAAGCTCAGAACGGCTGATAGCTTGACAAACATCTTGCTTGTAATCCAGTCGGGGTCTACGATTCAATTGCAATTGAATGAAGCTGTTGACACCTGGAGGAGAAGGGGGAGAAGAAGAAGAAGAAGAAGGGAGAGATGAAGGCGGGGGAGGGGAAGAAGAAGAGGGAGAAGGGAAGAGAAAAAGCTGCCATTTATCTCCTTCTGATTAATTATTCCCCATTCCGTCTGATCGTCAGTCACTCAGCTGGGTAGGTAGCTATGGAGCTTGCCTTGCCTGCCTGCCTGCCTGCATAAGACTAGCATGCTTGTATGCTTGTATGCTTGCATGTGTAGCTATAGTACCTGCCCCTCTTGGTAGTGTCCTCGAGTAAGAAGTCTACTTACCTGCAGACAAGTCAGGTACAGGAACAACAACAAGGGGGTCCTACAGGAAGGAGCCGGGGCACGACAGACCGGTATTAGGATCAAATGGGCAGCTGCATAAGCTGCATCCATCCCCAATCCCGGCCGGCTACATGGCAAAGCGAGATAGATGGACACAGGCCTGCGTTGTGCTAGCCCGCATGAGGAAGGAGAAGGTTCTTGCCGCCCACCCTTGACGCATCGCATCCCTGGGCAAAAGCTTGCAGGAGCTTATTTATCTCGAGCTACTCCGTACAGGGAAACGGTAGAAGCTTATTTTGTTTCTTTGTGATGATAGGATAGGATAGGGTGGGGTGGGATAGGAAAGGTCGTCCGGGACGTACTCGAGTACAGTAAGTAATTAAGTGGTGTACCGGGATATGTACCTAGGTAGACAGATAGTGGCGTTTACACCAACACCTTCCTTCCAGAACCTAGCTGGAATTTTTGAACACGAGCAGACTTCTAAGGAGACCTGGATGTGTCACGTCATTGAACATACAAGTCGACGCATATTATTATCTGATGTGTCACTAGTAACAAAAGTACCAAGAGAAGAAGGAGAGCCGTCGAGCAAGAAAGTCGGTCAAATGCGGGGTGTGAATGCAGGCACCCTAGTTGTTGTACTTCGGCTGTTCGGCTGCTCTCACAAGCTTAGACTTAGGCTGTGAACCCTCATCCTCCGCAAGGAGATCTTGGGCCCTACCAAAGAACACAGCTTTTGTACTTACCTAACAATTTAGGACTGGGGCCGGTTCCAGATTATCAAAGTATTTTACAGTAGTCCTAGCTAGCCTGTAGATCCTAGCCAGGCTTACGCGAGATAGAAAAAGGGTTCGCGTATGCAGTTAACAATTCCCAATTGCTGGCCACGATATTGTAAGAACGGCAGAAGCCTAGCTTTTAACATCGTATGAGTTTCAATTCCTATGCGCAGTTTCACAGGTATGCTACTTGGGCTTTTGGTTTTTGGAAATACTCACTTTTTGGTTTCATACCCGAGCCAACTAAAGCATCAACAACTTCCTCCCCCTGGCTTCGCTTAGTCTCTCAGATTTAATCAAGCTTTGAAAATATCTGCTCATTGCAATGAGAAATCACCTCTTCATTGAAACTCCCCAGTAGAATTCAGAAAGACAACTTTATTCGCTCCAGGAAAACATGACTCAAGCAGAGCTCTTGGCCCAGCCCAGCAGATTCTTCAAATACCTGCTCCAAGATCCATCGTCGCCTGTCTTCTCATCGACGACAAACCCAGGCTTCCCTTCAAACGCCATGAATCCTGTTCCATCATAGCATCCGATATACTCCGCTTCAATATCCTTAGATTTCAAGACACCTTGCTCAACCCACATCAACTGCTTCCCGTTCGCCACTTCATCATGATAGTCAGCACAAACTCACTGAATAGCACCACTAAACCCAAACACTTCCAAAATCTCCAGGCCCCCCAAAAACCACAAAAGAAAAAGTAAAGAGAGAGGAATGAAAGAAAAAGGTTCAACTCACTCGGTCCAGCCGGACAATAACTCTCCATGAAACTCCCCCTCAACTTCACATGCCCACGATTCTTCTTCCCAATCCTCTCCATATACCCCATATCCAAAAAGTACAAAACCTGCACCTTCCGATTATAATCCAGGGTATCAAACCCCCCCTCCTTCTTCCCAGACTCCCCACTCAACAACCCACTCTCAGGTCTACAACACAACATACTCGCAAGCACACCCCCCTCCTCCCCCGCACCCACAACATCCCCAATCCACTTCCTCGCCGGGCCATCAAACCTCTCCATCCAATGCTCCCTCTCCTCGCTCTCCATAGCACTATTATCCTGCCCCTCAACAACCACACAAATATTCTCCGGGAACCTCTCCATCCTCACCCTCCCGCTCCTCACCTCCCCCTTCACCTCCCCCCTCTCAGGAAACGCCCCCAGAGAAGACTCCAACCGTTCAGTCTCCGTACATTCCTCAATCCTATCACGATAACACCCCCAATACCCCGACTTAGTCGTATTCGGCACCAGCTTTCCCAGGTGCGCGAATCCCGATGGGGAGGTCACGTTCGTGCCGAGCTGCACGCGGGACATGGGCAGAGTGAGTTTCTCTCGCCATACTCCTGCGTTATCCGGTAAAGCGTTCCAGAATGTCTGGACGGGTGCTGAGGTCCACCATTCGTCGTGCGAGGCTGGAGATGTCCAGTATGTGAGCCAGACTCGGGAACGGCCTAGGGAGGGGATGGGCCCGGATTGTTCGAGGGATTCGATGTGGACGGCGGAGTCTTTGAGGAGGGTTTCTAGTTGGGATATGGTGGCTGTGGTTGTGGCAGAGGGAGTGAGGCCGTGGTATTGTACGCCGAGGAGGAGGAAGACGAAGGGGTGCGAACGGGGGACTTCGGCCATGTACATCTTTGCGGTTTGGATTTCAATATCTCTCCTTTGTGTCGATGTAAGAGATGTAAGAGAAGTAAGTTAAAAAGAAGAGTCTTTTGAAAAGGAACCTCAGACCAAGTTATCCTCCCCTCTCAGCCCACCTACCTTCCCTATCTATACTCCGCAACAACATGTCGTACAGCTGTACAAGAGGCTGCGGAATTGACATGCCTCAGCCAGCCTCAACATCCGACCTCACGGTAAGTACCAGCCAACCAGACTTTTAGATAAGGCACGCATAATCGCTGGCACTTCCCTTCCAACAGCTTGCCTCCCTTAGTCTACCAGTTGACTGGACTTCCCGCTTGTTAAACTTCGTGGATGGGCTCCGGCAGTTCAATAGGACGCCGCAGCGGAACTGCTCCGCCTCGGCGTCCTGTCAACGATTGATGGCTTTTCGAGACATCTCCCATTCGTCCTTTTGTGTTCGAATAGAATCGAAGTGTTTCATCTCTCGAGAAGTTAATTGGCCCGCTCTGTATTGTTCGAGATTGGCTGTACAGGTCGTTTTAGGTCGTTGAGATCCCTCAAAAGGTCGCAAGAGGTCCACTTTGATAAGCGAGACTGGGCGGGAGAGGGGAGGGGGTGTGGGGGGAAGGTGATGAAATCAACAAGAACGTCGACCTGCGACATGCAACAAACCTCGCCAAAGTCGTATTGAGTTCAAATGCGATAAACCTGATAAGCACTTTTAAGGTTTGTAGTTGAGCGCCTCCACTTCCCCTCCTTTCTTCGAGTTATTATTCGGTACATAATTAGCCAAGATCCCCAACCCCAATTAAAGCCGTCCAAATAATGGCAAATTTAACCTCCCTCAGAAAAGCAGCCAAGTAGCCAGCCAAGTGATATGTTTCATCCCCATCCAACTTATCCGTAAACCTCATCCTATCATTCCCCATTTCCATAGTTCGGATACGATAGATGCCAAGAGTTTCGTTTGTACAAAGTACCCCGCCCCCTGCAGTCTCACTGCTGCCTACCCACGCCCGTTTCCACGAAACAATAAAACTCGAAATAGGCAGAACCTCCAACAGAGAATACAAGGAAAGGCTTGATGGTATAATGGGATTACGCACAGCATTGAATTTTAAGCGCTGTGAGACACGAGTTCGATCCTCGTTCAAGCCCTTGAGACTATCTTTATTTTTGCATCGAGGTAGGAGATGTTGAAATCTACTGAACCACGTAGGTTACTCCGAATCCTCTTTTGGAATTCGAATCGCTACAATTTACGGAATGAGATATCCTTATACTTTGCAAGGGGAGTTTTTTAAACTTATATTTTTAAACTTTTCTTGACTTCTCCGACCCGTTCTTATTCAAACCCGATGCCGCCAAGCCTCTCCTTCACCCTCGCTTCCAAATCAACACAATTCACCCCTCTGTCCTCTCAAACCAAAAGAAACACATCAATATCCCCTCTATCTACCCAAATAACCAACCCCTCTTATCAAACAACATAAACACAGACTTCATGGTGCAATTGGTAGCACGCATAGCTAAAAGAATCACGCTGTGAGATTTAGGTTCGATTCCTAATGGAGTCCATTTCCATATCACTACAGAGGTACTGGATCCTATTTGTTTTTGCTGCTAAGTCAAATGTTTCATTTTGAATAATCTTTTGCTATTGAGAAGGTCAACACAATCATTGAAGGGCTTGCTTTTAAGTGTACCTGACAAAGTCAACTTAGCTCAACCCACCCACCCATCCCCTTTTCTCCTTTTGGAGTGTTTCGCACTTTTTAATTTTGAAAAACAATATTAGCTCAAATTAGTTTCAAGTAATATATTCAACTTTTTGATATAAGTAGTATATTCTTTCTTTCAATAGTATATTTATGTATAAATTCTTTACAACAATCTTTTGGTATTTCTTATCGCAAGTAATAAAAACTTTTCATATGATTTAGATAAAAGGAGGAAATACTTTGTTTTAGTGCCCAGCTTGTGTATGTTTTCCCACGAATTTTCACTTAATAATGAATCATATGTAATGGAATCGAAGAGTGGTAAGTTATATATGTGGAGTACAAAACAGTATTTTAGGTTACACATGTCGAGTACGAAACAGGGTATTGTGGTGGGTAGGACCCTCGGCTGTTTCTTTGTCACTTGACCGAGCGACATATAAGGAGTTAACACTTATATCCTTTAAAGCGGTGCGTAGAATATCCTATGGTTTATTTAATAAATATTTCTTTCTTCGTTTTCTTTTAATAATTTGTACTTCTTAAACATGTAATATCTTAAGAATTAATCAATTCGTGATTTCTCAAAGCTAGAGTTCCCTTCGTACCTTACGTTGTACTACCTCTCTTATTGTATGGTGATTAGGTGTTCAACTCCATAGTATTAATAAGAAACAGGCGTTGTGCGGAAGGTATATGAGACAATGGAGGTAGCCATAAATATCAGAAAATTGCTCATCAAACACACATATCCACACATCCACCACACCCATATCCACTTTGGGCTTATATCGAACCACGTCGTCGAAGCCTAATCAATCAATCAATCAATTAATCAAGATGAGTAGCAGCAGCAAGAGACAGCCCCCAAAACGGACCAATCCCCATGATAATCCCAAAAATTATGGTTGGACGGCCGAATGCACGCAATGCGGCTGGAAGGGCACCACGGACTTGAGAGAAGGAGAGGGAATTTGCCCAGAGTGCGGCCATCGGGTGATAAGACTAGGTGAGAAACGATACATCGGCCCTCAGAACCCAAACGAGAAACGAAAGTAAAGTGTGTTTGATGCCTGAGTACCCCTTATACTTTATTGTGTAATTAGTGTTAAACTCATCATTTTACTTTTCGTTCCTTATCAGGCATAGGCTATACTTTATTGTACCATTTCTTTACTCATTCCATGGATCTAAATAATCACTCTCTTTCATCAATTAACTTCGAAAAGACTTCATGGTGTAATGGTCGCACACACAGCATTTAATTGGAGCGCTGTGAGATTTAGGTTCGAATCCTAATGAGGTCCCACGACCCGAGCTGGGCAAGTCGTTGCATTCCTTTGGGTGTGATGACTTGTCCGGCAGGGTCCAATTATTTTTGTATTTCAAGATTTCAATTTTTGCTCCAAGTTTCTTTATTCATTGTTCATTTCATCTCGCTTGTTTATTCCTCCTCTCCTTGAGTCTTTGTTCTTTGCCTGGTTGCTTACTTGAGTACCTTTGTGGGAAAATGTTGCTGGCGGCTGCCTCACCCAGCTAGGTATTAACTACAATTCACTTCCAGTCAGCTTAAAACTTTAATAAATAAATAACTTCAAGTATCAAATAAATCAAAAGTGACATTTTGGACAGCACAACCCTCACTTCATCTGGCTGACTGTTGTGAGATAGAGGTTTAAATCCTATTGAAGTCAATGACCCAAACAATAACACCAATTGTTACCTGGCTCCAGGAGGGCCAGACCAACATGGTCAATTTTGTTTTGATTTTTTGCTTGACTGGATGGCTCCCGATGAGATTTTATGAAAAGGGGCCGTTCCCTTGCCCGTTGAGTTGTTTTGAGCAGGGTTAAGCGAGCCCCGTGACAAACAAACCAGTGTGCAACACATTTCCAAGATTACAAACGAAGATGTCATAGACCTGCAGAACTGAAGCACTCAGATAATTTCCTCTTAAGAAAGAACCTACTTAAAGAATTGCGGTATTTCACATCTCTTCTGACCTATCTCCACCAAAAACATAATCAATACCAACCTCACTCCCCGTAAGCACAACGAACATCCCCCTCGCCGCCTCCTCACACTGCTCCACCAACTCTCTATTCCCCAACGCCTTGTAAGCCTCCGCGGCAACCCTCAGCGCACTAAAACTCTCACAATTCGTAATCCCCCTCCCAGGCCCAGCCAAACACAACTTCCCCTCCTTAACAGGGTCCACAAACCCAAAATTCCTCAGTATCTCCAACGCGTACGTAACAACCTTCGCATGATTCCCCCTCGAGCGGTGAGCGTCCGTAAGCCAGATACTAGGATGCACCAGCAACAATCTTGGCAAATCCGCGTAGACATCCGACTCATGCAACTCCTCAAGTTTGCGCGTCAGACGCTCGATGGTCTTGATCGTGCCGTTTGGAATCATATGGTGGCTAGTATGTTGACTCTGGGCTTTTAGGGCCTGGTCTTTGATTTTGGTGACGAGGTCGCGACGTTGCTGATGCATCTCATCTGGCGATTTGCCTTCTGTGGAACAGAGAGGACAGTCACATGCGAAGTCCCAGTGGAGAGGTAACTCCTTGCGGCGAGTGAGGAAATGGGCTTCGGGTGCGAGGTATTGCTGTGTGAGTTCGGTGTTGGGAGGGATGTCGCTGTTGGCGTGAATGAGCATCATGTCGCCTATGAAGGCGCGGGTGAGGTTTGGGAGGCAGGAATGGTTGATGTAGGATGCTTTTATCCAGAGGCCGGTGGAGAGGAGGGTAGGTGCTGAGGGTTGGGTTGACAGGTGTGCTTGTAGGAGGTCCAGTGAGAGACGAGGACAGCTGAAGCAGTTTTTGAGACGGATAGCTTCGATCAGGAACCTGCAAAGTGATTAGTTCAAGTCGGAAAATTTAGAGTACTGATACTGAGGACAGTGAGATATCAGATCAGACATACGAATCAACAACAGGCACACCATCCACAACAACCCCTTCCTTCCCAGACCTTACATAACCGCCCGCATCTAAATCCCAAAACCTCTCATTCTCACCACCCCCAAGATCCCCGTAAAGCTTCTGTCTCAACTGTAAAAAGAGCGCCGCCTGTGCCGGTCTTTGTGTCCTCGAACTCGAATTGAAGTTATACAATATCACATCCTTCGGCTTATCCTCACAATACATATCAGGCAAGCAAAACGCATTTTCACACAGCACCAAACTCCCCGCTTTGATGAACGCCGTTGAGAATAATCCCCGCCCATGGCCTGCTGCGGATCGGATTTCGACGGAGTTGCTGTACGTGGCGTGATTGAGGTGGATGATACCGCTAGAGACTGACTGGACCATTGAAGCAAAATCATAAACTCCATCTTCTTGCTCGTGGATCCTCGTTTCGGCCCGGAGGAGCTCCTTCCGGCTTTTGACATCATAAGGCGCAAGTTGAAGGGCTCGTTCGAAGTATGTTTTGCTTTCTGAGTAGAGGCTTAATGAGTAGGCGGCGAGTCCGGCACTGTGATACGCTCGTACATCAAGGATATTTCCTGAAAGTGAGGCGAGCGCATCTCCTTTTGCGGGCATGTATGACTTAGCAGTGAGGTTTGCGAAGGAACGCTTCCGATACGTGTCCTGGACGAATAAAATGTCGCCTATGGGTGCGTTGTCGAGCGCTTGGGTGTAGCTGAAGAATTTAGCTGGTGGTGTTGAGGCCGTAACAAGGAATTGGAGCCTTACCATTCAATTGCTGAGTACTCCTTCTCCAAGTACGCTTTATCTCCAGCATTCCGCCACTGAGTAGGAGTTATCTCAATGCTTCCTGAAGCAAATTGCATAATCATCGATACAGTAGGATCATCACCCCTCAGGACGGCGATATCAGAGGGGTGATCAACACGAATGACAAAGTCTCCATCACCGTTATACTTGCAGTAAGGTTCCTTGATAGCCACTGTACTGTTTATAGGCAGGGAATACGTGTTGCCTGAATACAAGTCGTCTTCGAACCCCAGAATCAGGGTGACAATATCACCGCCATCTCCTTTGATAATCGTAATGATCTCTGAACATTGATAGGGATGGACGATTGTCCTCCCTGTGATGAAGCCACCCCGATGATGAGTTTCGAGCTTCAAGTCTTTTAATGAGATCTACATTCCATTAACTGTGTTCGAAGCTGTTTACAACTGGAAACAGGTACCTTCTGGAGTTCATCTAAAGCCAAGCTTGAAGGGGCATAGGCGACTGGGAGAACAAATTCTCTGATTGCATGCTTGGATTTCTTTGAGAGGTCAATGTTCTTATAATGGACAGCGAGCAGATCAACCTCAGATTGCTTTTGCATCGCAATGCCACCCTGGCCGTTGGAGGATGCCTCATAGATACGTCTGTGCTGGTCTGGCGATAGCTCATATGAGTTATTCTCCCCTGCTTCCACGAGCGTCATTTGGGTCAAAATCATGTAATAATCAGAAACCGTGATGTAGCATTCGGCATATCTTCAAGAATAGAACTTGACACATACATCTTTCCATGATCGAGTGATTAGCCGGCCGTAGGTAACTTGGCAGTATGGAGAAAGAAGGAGCAACGGCAAAAGGGACATTGGACTGCAATTGGACTCCGGGTAAAGCATCTGACACACCCACAGCACGCATCATGTAAATAGTATTCGAGGAGTCCGTGAGTGGGGTTAAACTGGGCAGTATTCAAATAGTTCGAATTTGATGCAACTTGAATGTAGAAATCATACTTACCAGAAATTCTCAAAGCAATTATTCCGAAAATGTGAAACCAAATTTGACCACTTTTAACATTGGATTTTCAAAAATGATCTGATGCCGGTCTCCACGCCTTCAGGACTTGGCTTCTCAGCACAAACATCTGGTTCGTACCCGAAAGAGTTACGCAAGAAGTCTCTGGTAGTGGGCCCGATTGTAGCAACATATGTGGTCTTCGATTTCGATTGCTCCACTGCTCTCGCTCTGCCCGTTTCTGGATCAAGACGACCCAATCCACGAAGCATGGCTTCGCATCCCGTGGGCGAAAATACCACTACCCACCTCATGGAACTGTCTTCAGTTTCTTCCAATAGCTTCGTAAAGTCCTGCTCGAATGACTCCATTACGCCTGTTCCATACACTACCAATTCATCGACTTGTATTCGACGGTCGTCTGCTAACGTAGGGTCCATCAGGGTCTTTGGTATGATATCCCTTCTCTGCTCACCCACTAGGAACAAAAGAGGTGGCTTGACTTTTCGGTCTTGATACCATTCCCCGTAGTGGTCAAGCATGTAATGTGCCAAAGCTTCCCCATTTCCCATATCAGCTCCGAATATATTGAGAGGTGGACTCTGCGGGATAGCTCGTAGAGCTCGAGAGGTAGCAGGACCAACAGTGTATATTGGAATATCTTGCAAATGAGGCCATTGCGCATCGCCTGTCGCGATTATCAGAGAAGTTCGAAGGAGTTGCTGATATCTAGATTCGCACCTTTCCCTTCCTCGACCAGCCTTGTGAATGCCTCCACGGCACGTTGCGATGTGAATATCATTCCGCCGTATTTCTTGCCTGCACCTCTCCCAATCTGCTTCCTCTGCAGCAAGTCTTTCACGACATTGAGCCCATCATCGAGGAATTGATGCTCAAGGACTGGGACGAATGAGGGGTCGAATTGAAGGCCATCTGTCATGGCAGAAAACCGCTCTTCGTAGCCATCGTTGGGCGTCGATTTCGTCTTCAGTAGTAGGATCGGGATGGAGCTTTCAGCTCCGTTGTTGGTGGTGCTCATCGTCTTCGCATTGTGAGATTCGTGTTTGTTGCAAGTCGCGCCGAAGCAATGACGCAGTGAAAGGCTTCGCGTCCGCCGAGGGGCGGCCGAGCAGACCGCGTTGACAAATCAACAGCTTCGGGGCACTTGACTTCTTCTCTAACTACATCGCACTTTACTTTGTACAGATTTGCAAAAGACAACAATGGCAGATGATACTCGGGAAAACGATTCAAAGGCCAGGACAACTGGAACTGCGCCCGAGCCCGCTAGAAAGTTCCCCAAGGGAATCATCCTCGGGAAAGATGGCAAACCGTGAGCTTCATTGTCCTTTATGTCTTTCTACAGAACACCAATTGAATGCCCAACAGATGCAAAACATGTAATTCTCTCAAAGACATGACATCTCAATCCAGAAAATTCACCAAAACCGTACCACTCCCCCGAACAGAATGTCCCCCCGATGTGGAAGAGCTGGGGCGGTCCTCGTGGACTCTGCTCCATTCAATAGCCGCCACATACCCTTCGAAACCCACGCCGACAGAGCAGACGCAAGTGAGCCAATTCTT